CTGGATACGATGAAGAAACCTGCAAAGATCACATCATCCTTTTTAACCAGAACCTCATCCACCCAAAGCAGACTACAACAAGGGAAGAGGCTTCCACAGAACACCAAGCTGTCTGCTCTGTAGCTGTTTAAGGACACATCTTATATCCTGAAGAGATTGTTTTTCATGTCGGTGGTTTTGTCCACACGGATGTCTTTATTGATCTGAAGAGAAGTAAAGAAAAAAAAACAATAACGAATATTTAAAATGAGGTTAAAGGTGCTTTATGATGTTTAACTATGTGAAATAAATTGTCTTATTATAATAAACGTCTTCATTACCAGATGTTCCTGGTTTGACTTTAGAATAAACAGATTCCTCTTCTGCTGCACATCTGGATTTTCCTACGAATGAAAAGATTTTATTTTTTTATGTTTGCCAGTAGTGCCCTCGTTAAAAAGAATAATGTACTGATATACGTTGTAAAAAGAAAATAATTATAAACAAAAAACACAAAAGATGGAGTGTAACATTAAGCAGAATAGGTTATAATAATAGTTGAAGGAATAGACAGAAATTATTTAAGATTATTTTAAAAACAACTTTTTAAAGGTGTTTGTTTTAGATGGAGACAGAACTCACATCACAAGGAGTCAATACCTGATGTGGACTTTATTTACCTTCATTGCTCTTCTTTCCAGTGGGGGGGTGAACCTGCACATACGTCACGTCATCTAAAAACACAAGACACATTTTCAGTAGAATATTGATGGATGGATGAATATAAATAAATGAAATGAGGCACCCGCCTTATGTTTGATTCATCACTGCATAGTATTGTCATCATTTCTAATTACAAAACTAATTTAAATGAATTCTAAAGTCTGTTGTGTACTTGTATGCAGGATGTGTATATTGTTGACATTGGCCACATTAGACGACGTATGAACGTATTAAACTAGAGCAGGTAGCACCTGTTAAATACTAGAAGCTGTGTTGGCGTTGACTGTACCTGCAGCTGATGGGATCCTCACATCCGAGTAAACGGGGCTCTCGTCTGGTTCATCGTGCTTCTCTGTCACAAAGACCACATGAAGGACTTTGATGAGAAGAACAAAATCATCTCCGCTGTCAAAAGGTGATTCTCACCATACAAAGTAAATCACCAACCCTTCTTTTTAGAATAGAATAGAGGTACTTTATTGTTTCCCGAGGGGAAATTCAATTTAAGGTGTTTGAGTTGAACTTCAGAATATTTGAGACTGGATTCATCTGAAATTACAATTTCAGATGAATTCGAATCATCTGATTCTAGTATTTATAACAGTTCTGTGATGAACACACAGGATGTATTTTTACAACATGTTCAGGTTCTGAACCACTTTGTATCAATTATAGAATCTTCTCAAACAGATAACCAGAAATGGAAATGTTAGCATTAAAGTTAATAATATATTATTAAATAAATCAGGATTAAAGCTGACCATGAAGAAGAGAAGCGTGATGTCCGTCTTTAGTTTCACCCTGGTTGATCATGTGGTCTGTAGCTGCGCTCTGATTGGTCCTCTGAGACCTTGTGGGTCCAAAACATGAAGTAAATACAGAGGATTTAATGAGGAACATGTAAAGTCCTGCTGCCGTGTTCAGAGTGAGAGAAGAGAGGCTTGTACCAACCTGCTGAGGCTTGAAGCTGCAAGAAAAAGGTTTCACATTGATCATTAATTAGTGTGTGTAATAATATCTGTGACTTTGACTTATTTCAGTGAAATCAGTCTGATATCAGAAGGAAAAGATCTCACCTTCTGACTTTCTGTAGCGACGCAGAAACAGCAGCAGGAGAATAATCAGTAAAACTCCAGAAACCAGACCAACAACCAACGGCACGAGAAACACAGAGCTTGATGCTGCTTCTTCAGGATCTACACACAAGTACACACCAACCATGAAGAGATACACAAGTAACAATAATAATACAGTTTATTTATAACACACTCTTCATCAACAGATCTCAGAGTGTCACAGAGCCAGAAAAACATACTTAAAACAAAGTAAAACTAGTAAAAACACAGGTACTAATGTGTTGTAGTACTAAACAAGTACTACAACACACACACTCAAATACACAAACATGAACCCTTGATCACACAACATTCACCTTTCACTGCTGGTCATGTTACATCTCTAATATTATGTGTTTTTACTGAACATGAACATCTTTAAAACTATATTGTCTCACACAAACAAATAGTTTATCTTAAGATAACTTCTAATTCAGTGACACCTTTTCTCACTCAGACTGTAACACATGTTACAAAACTCGTACTCACATTTCACTGACAACCAGCTCTCTGCTGAGGTCAAAGTCTCCAAACCTTGAGGTGATTTCCTTCCTCTACATTTATAAAAGCCTTCATCTGACTTAGTAACTGCAGAGATAAGCAGCTCCCCTCTGGCAGGATTTGGGATGAGTTTGTCATTTTTATAGAAATCCACATTATAAAGAAGGTTTTCTGTCCTCAACTTGCAGCCAAGAGTGACGGAATGTCCCTCAGTCACAGGACGGACAGAACTCACCAGGATGACATCACCACCTGTAAAGAGACCAGAGGACAGGAAGTCAAACAAGCTGATGAACAATGAGGAGAAGACATTTATAGTTTACATTTGTTATTCACATTCACACAGTAGCTGAGCGAATAGCTGCATTTCATGGATGGAAGAGACGGCCCTTTGGTGACGTACATGCTCACAGTTACATCTTTAATTAATGCTCAATATGTCGGGAGACAAATGTCCACTTAGTGGCAGTGAGCTACAGAATGGTCTAAAAGGTACAAAGTGAGCAGATAACTCTACAGCTCCTCCTCCTTTGATAGAGACATGTGGATGTCAATGGGCCCAAGAGAGAAGTAACCCCCACAACAGTGTTGGATAATACAGAGAAATGATACTGCAACAAACTAAGATTGTTGAGTCGTTTGTTAAAATAAATATTGAGTTAAACTCGTCATGAAGTCACCGTAAAAATGTCAGCACTCTGTAATAAGATGTGTAAATACTTTAGATATAAAACCTTTAAATGAATATAAACTCACTGTGTATAGTGATGTTGGCTGCATTGCTGGACTGTGTTACAGACTCACACCAGTACACTCCACTACTCGCTCTAGTGTTGGTGTTGCATGTGGATCCAGTCATTTCTCCCCAGTAAGAACAGAAGTACACGTCACCATCTTCATTAACCATCGTCACTCTCCACTCAGCAGAGTTTCCCTCACAGATCAGTGACAGTGACTCTGTGCTGAAGTGCTGCAGTCTGTGAGGACTCACTGTGAGAGACGCTGCTGGATTCACACCTGAAGACACATCATTAGGAGACACACACAGGACAAACAATGTCAACACAAAAAGGACATTTATTCCCTTGTGCAAGAATATAAAAGTCTGAACAAACTCACCTCCAGACCAGACAAACTTCACATCACTATACTGAGTGTAAGACACAGGATCTCCTCTTTCAGCTCTGCACTGATATCCTGCTGTGTGTGTCTGTCCATGAAGAATGTAGGAATCCTGTTCAGTCCCAGTGGTGCCACCAGCTAGAAGCTCAAAGGTGTAGTAGTCTGACATGTCTGGAACAGCCTTATACCAGAAGAACCTCCATCCTGCAGACGGAGGTTCGACACTGCAGGTCAGAGTCACTGAGTCTCCAGGACTCGTCCATGATGGAGACACTGAGAAGACAGGACGAGGGACATCTGTTGGAAAGAGGTTTGACAGAATAAAGACGTGTTATGATGAGTCCTTGGTGGATTACTGTCACTGCTAATGTCCTCCATCTTTTTATCTGTCTTCATGTGAATGGATCGTCGTGGCACACGGGTAGAGCGGGTGAGCTGGGAACCACAAGGTTGGTGGTTTGAGTCTCGGCTGCCACATGTCGAAGTGTCCCTGAGCAAGACACCTAAACTCTAACGGCAAAATGTTAAAAGCCATGGCTTAAAAAATGTCGCTTTGGATTAAAGTGTCAGCTAAATAACTTGTATGTATGAATTGTTTGTCTTAACGCTGTCCACTTTTCTTTTGTTTTATTTGAAATATTAATATTATTTGATCCTTTTAAACAAAGCTCAGGTAATTAAACAGCATCAGTGTGAACTTTGTCTCACACTAGTTAACATTTATTAATTATCACTGTGTAAGAGCCATATGTGTCTTAATAAGATGTGTTTACTGTCTTTATGAAAAATGTGTTGAAATGCTCCTTTTGAGTGGCGTTACTGATGACGTCATGCCCCGTGTTACCCAGTCGAGGTTAATCAGTCGGAGCGGAGCAACACAGTTTTTTGACCGAAGTCGAGCACTGAATGTATCTTGTAATTAAGTTTTGTTAAGTAAATCTTTTTAAACAGAAAGGCTGTCTACGAAGATCCATTACACGTTAAGCTCACAGCCCAAACAGACTGTAACAGTAGAGGTAATAAGGATCAACGTGGACGGAGGTAAGATTGCCGCATTATGTTACATTAACGCTTCATTAAACAGGTTTATTAAATCAACACGTCTCATTAATATAAAAGTGCTTTAATGAACTCGTCGTGATGGTAAATCTTTTATCACTTATCTGATACAGTTAGAGAGACTTTATTACTTTCTCTTGTAACAGGACGGATCTTGTGATCAGCAACACACTGATATTCACTACTATCTCCTCTAGTTAGAGATGATGATTTATATCTATTCACTGTTCTGTTGGTGGTAAATAAATGATCATTCCTACTGAATGAGTAATTCCAGTCAGTGTCGTTTCCTTCCCTTGAGTCACATATGAAGGAAACTTTCTCTCCAGTAAATAAAGGGGACCAGTTTGGCTCAATATGCAGCAAAGCATCTAGAAACAATCACAACATGCAAAGAATGAATCCCGTCTTCTTTCTTGTATTCATCATAAATTAACTAAAGAGAACAGAAATATTAAATGTAAAATAGTGATAGAAGGTGTTGAATCGTCTTGAGTGAATGTATCAAAATAAAGAAAGTTGTATAGAAACCTTGAGCGTGTCCACAGTAGAGGAGAATATTCAGCGCTAAAATAAAGTGAGAAACATCATCAAACTGACAGAAACTATTAACTTCTGGCATTTAAAATGTTGTATCTATGAATACTATGATTTAAACAGAGAAAGTACTCACAGAAAAGCCCCAACGCACCAAACAAGGTTTGTCCCATCCTCACGTCCACGCTGACACTCGCTTGTGAGAAACTCTTCCGCTTCGTGTCAAGAGACAGTTTGAAAGGTGTGAAACATGCAGAGAAATGTGGAAATGCAGAGACAACAGATGAACATCAGATGTGAGGTTTTCTCTAACTTCTGCTTCTGTTTATGATCCATTCTTTATTCTACAGCAGCACATTTTATTTAAAATATATCCGGTGGCCCAGAGAAAAGTGTTCCATCATTTCAGAACGACTGATATAAAAACCCTGTGAGATAAAGAGAAGTGAATCACAGAAGCTCGCTGAAACAGACCAAAATGAATCCACCAACTTTAATCAGACTTAAATGTAGTAAGAAAGACATTTTATTTGATCAATCACAAGGTTCCTTTTATGGATCAAAGCCACATTCAACTCTAACAGCAAAACACAGCAGCAGGAGGATGTGGAGCATTCTGGGACGCCTCTTTCACCACAACTGAACTGCAGCCTGAGACGTGGAAATTATTCAGTTTTTTGGGTTGTTTATCTTTTTTATATTTTGCAATAGAACAATAAAAACTCTAAAGTAAACTATACATTTAGAGAAGGTATAAGTCGGCAGCAAAACCTTTAAAACACATAAAAAGAGGAAATTGTTAAGACTCTTTCACAATCCACTAATTTGCATAAGACGAAATGGAGATGAGAATTTCCACCAACTCTTTAGTTCCTCATCTGCAACAACATGTTGAGAGAAAGGAGAGAAAACAATTCAGCTTACTACATATCGACAAGGTATATATATTATAACCAAATGGTACAACATACAATCACACAGATAAATAGAAATACAATTATAAACCTTGTGACACTAATTTAATCATGTTTGTTCTGGTAGTCGTGACATTGACATATTTTATCAGACATTTGTGCTTTAGAGGAAACTGCAGCCGTAGTGTGAGAGGAAGAACCACAAGGCTTCTTAGAATAACCTTTATTGTTCCCCTTTACACATAAAAGACGTGTTGCTGTTGGTTGTGTGTCACATGACCACATTCACACCAGGGCTCATCTGCTTCTACAGAGGTGTGATACTCTGTGATGTATGACATCATGTTTTAATTCTGAGAAGTAGAAATGTAATAAAGTACCATAAACAAATCAGTTAGATCTAATGCAGTGGACGCGGAATTGGAAAAAGGGTTTTTAGCAGTTGAACCAGTCAGGGAGGACCACAGCTTTTTGATAATGTGTCTCCCGGATCACCCGGACATGGCGACCTGGGACAGAACCCGATCAGGCCGAGTCCCGGACTAAAGGAGGACTCGTAGGAGCCGATTAGAGTCTCTAGTTGGAGAAATAGACGCCTCACAGGTCCTCAACTGGCAGCTTCTTTAAATGGTACCTACATAACGCCAGTGTCCACGTCTACAGTGAGGAGACGACTCCGGGATGCTGGCCTTCTAGACAGAGTGGCAGAGAAGAAGCCACATCTGAGACAATAATAAAGAACAGATTGATACGGGCAAAAGAACATTATGTTACATTACATTACATGTCATTTAGCTGACGCTTTTGTCCAAAGCGACTTACAATAAGTGCATTCAACCATAAGAATACAAACTCAGAAGAGCAAGAAACAAGAAAGTACAATTTAAGTGCTACAATTTAGTCTTTTAGTCGAGGTAGAGTCTGAAGAGGTGTGTCTTTAGTTTGCGGCGGAAGATGTGAAGGCTCTCTGCGGTCCTGATGTCTTCAGAGAGCTCGATCCACCATTTAGGAGCAAGAAACACAGACATTTGATAGAGGACGTTTGGAAAAAAGTGTTATGGACGGACGAATCCAAGTTTGAGGTGTTTGGATCACACAGAATAACATTTGTGAGACGCAGAAGAGGTGAAAAGATGCTGGAATGGTGCCTGACACCATCTGTCCAGCACGGTGGAGGTGATGTGATGGTCTGGGGCTGTAAAAGGGATTTTAAATAAGGAAGGCTGTCTATATCTGTCTCTATTTTGCAAGCCATGCAGTTTCCTCCTACAACAGTTCTATTAATTAATTATTTTATCATAATGTTATATACAATTCCCATCGTATTTAAACTGGTGACTGGATGAATCATGTAACCTGCAGCGTAGTAATTGTAAAGATTTTTTAGATTCAGACAAAGACATTGATGTTTTACATCCATTTATGTCAAGTTTGGTCGATTTATGTCGAGTTTTTTAGATAAGACACACACACATATTTTTATATCTTCCCTAACGTTGTTTTTCTTCCACTTCTCCCTTTTGTTACATTACTTTAATCGAGTTGAAACAAATATTATCAAATGACTACAAATCCCATGATTCTCTCTCTCAAATGTCCCACATTTCCGGCTTCGCTTCCGCTATAAAGCTGAACTCCACCAACATCAAAGTGGCGCGCAGCAATCAATCAATCAATCGCACCTGTCGGCTGATCCAGCGGAGAAGCGAATCAGAGAAAAATATCGATCACCTACATGAAAAAAAGTCCCTCGTTCGCGTGACGTCATCGTCTCCTCCTCGTTCTCATTGGTTCTCTCGCCAGCTTGAGAGTTTTCCCGCGCGTCCTCTGGCGTTAAACAGCGCACTGCCCTGTCGGCCGTTAGCGGCTGAAAGCTCTCGGATCCTCCGCAGTTTAACGTACACAAACAGCCCGTAACGGTGCTTTAGCGTCGGATAATGTCCTCCCAGAATTACGACTCGGGCTGTTTACCGGACTTGTTGCCGCTGTACTACCGACGGCTGTTCCCCTTCTCACAGTACTACCGATGGCTGAACTATGGAGGAGGTGAGTGCTCACCAGACAGACGGGCCCCGCTAGCTAAAGTCATGTTAGCAGTAGTGATGGCAAAGCGAAGCTTTCTGAACCAGTGAAGCTTTCCAGCCAATTGTATTGGAAAAAGGTTCATTCATTCAATGCATCGCAAACTCTATGATGACCTCTGCTGTTGAAAACCTATAGTGCAAATGTTTCGAATAGCCTACCAGTATATTCTGGAATGGAATCTGTGGCAAAGAGAGGTCGCTCCGAGATGTGGCAGCACTTCAATTTGATTTCCTCAAACACGGTTGGCAATAGGCAGGCAAAGTCTGTCATTTGTATTGTGTAATTATGGATGCTTATTTTTATTGTGGAGACCACCAGATATTTGGCTGAGCCAAACATTCCCGCTAAAGACCCGCTAAAATATTGCGTCAAACACAAACATGTGTACCCACATCTATTTGTATTAGCACGTAATCATTTGAGCATTCCTGCCTCATCGTGCCGTGAGCTGTGGAAACAGTATCTAAGAAACCGACTCAACCCCAATACTGTGAAGAAAATTGTGTTTCTCAATGAAAATCAATAATAATTTCATGCCCCATCCCCACGTGTCCACAAGCGCCTCAATATCCTGTCACAAGAAACCTGTCCAAAAGCACAATCACTGCCCCACTGACCTTTCCTCTGTAAATCACTTCCCACATTCCAGATTCAAACAATTCACATAAGTCCCTATGACTGCCATGAACTGCACATGCAGTAGGAAGCACTTGCTTTATGTTGAAATTTAAATATTTCAACTTTGGGCAAAATAGCGATTTATTCGCTTCTTTTCGCTTTTTCGCGTCCCACACGCCGCGTCTTTTGCCTCATTCGCGATGAGGACAAAGAATCTAAAATAGAATATTTGAAATGTAAGATTAGTTACTATGTTTAAAGACATTGTACCCAAACACCTATTAACACATGAAGACAGATAAAAAGATGGAGGACATCTATATATATATATATTTCTATTAATTCTTCTGCTAGTAGGATCACAAACATACATGCACAAAGGTGCAGAAAGACATAGATAAATGTTTGTTCCACTTATTCCCAATGTACAGAGAATTTAAAAACACAAACAAGGACACAATTCAAACCAGAAACACAATAGTTTTATTCATATAGGAATCCATGTATTTATTACATGATTTATTGGTTCAACTTTTCATAATCAGAGATTGGGCCAAAATGTACTAGTAGTCTATTCGATACATTTGCACTACAGGTTTTTAACAGCAGAGGTCATCATAGAGTTTGCGATGCATTGAATGAATGAACCTTTTCCCGATACAATTGGCTGGAAAGCTTCACTAGTTCAGAAAGCTTCACTAGTTCAGAAAGCTTCACTACAGAGAACCTATTTTTAACCCACTGTTGCATCAAAGCTGACATTCTACGACACATAACATGTTATTTTAGCTTCATACACACTAATTATTACCCCGTCTTTGCGCATGCTTGAGATCCCGACGGCGTCTTCTCTCCGTTATCAAATCAGCCAATAGCGCCATTCGCATCCGCTGGGCTCCTATTAACACCATGCACACATGAGGGATGTAGCTTCACCTTGCTCTCCGTTCGCCATCTTTCTCGTTATGTTGATGTTGTTGTTGTTGTTGGTAGTGGTGAAGCGGTCAAGCGGAAATGGGGTGTTAGTCGGATCGTAGTCGGACCGCACATAGTCGGACAAAGTTGTTTATATGAAACGGATAATTCAATTTCAATCCGACTAAGCCGAATCCATGTAACCACGCTGGCTGTCTGACACACTGTCCTGTCTGTGGTGTTGCGATGCAGAGAACATCTGGAAAGCCACTGGATGTAGTGCTCTTTGTAAAGTCCTGTTGGTTTATTTGTCGCTTAATAAACTTCTGATGTTCCACATTTCACTGCTTCAATTGATCAAGTGTCTGATTATGAACAATGGATATATAATTATTCTCCCATACACATTAACACACATAATAAAACTAGTTCTATATAATCATCTACACATACATATGATACATAAGCTGATACAGGACATATATCCTTTTCATTCGTATCAATTTGATTCTTTGGGCTTGTTTTCATTTACATATTCTGAAAGAGTTGAGATCATTATTCTCATTGGATGATGATCATCCACGAAGCCTCCTGCCAGCAGGCACATTTAAAGAAATATAATCTGATTGATTAGAGTGACGAGGCACTTAAATGAGCCGTTACATTTGACCAACACGCAAAACTTAGTTGGTCTTGTAGCCCCGCAGGGGGGCGCTGTCAGTTTTTGCCATGATTATATAATTCATTTAATTGTATATGGCACATATGGCAAATCTCTTGACAGTCTGTACACATGTGACATCCTCTGTCCAGAAACCCTCACATCGGCACAGAAAAAACTCCCCAAACAATGAAAATTCGATTGAGGAAGAAACATTTAGAGAGACAGAGGACGATCCTCCCTGGGACAGAGAGACTGCGATGGACGTACAGAAGATTTATAATACGTTCAATTAATCCGACAGAAATTATTCAAATTCACATATGTCCTCATATGCGTTCATGATCATTTCCTGCTCGTCAGCGGAGAAATGTTTGTTCCCCGTTGTACTGTTAAAAAATCCTGGTTTCGGTGATCGACTCCTCCGCCTTCTAACGTAAGACGCGCACGATCCGCCTTCGAGGAACCGAGATAGTCTGCTGTCAATCATCTCGGTAATTTGAGCTGGATAATCGGACATTTGATCGATTTAGTTGAACCACGTACGAGGAACAAAGACCAGATTGTTTTTCGACTCTACCTCTCTGGATTCAATGAAGGATGAAAAGATTTCATTTTCTTACGTTTTCCAGTAGTGTTAGTTAAACAGTTAAAGTCAAGTTAAAAAGAATAATGTACTGATGTTGTAAAAAGAAAATAATTGTAAAACAAAAAACACAAAATAAGATGGAGTGTAACATTAAGCAAAACAAGTTATAATCATAGTTAAAGTAGGATTAGACGTTATTTAAGATTATTTTAAAAACAACTACCATTTTCTAACTTTTAAAAGGTGTTTGTTTTGGATGGAGACAGAACTCACATGGAGTAAACAAGGCTCTCGTCTGGTTCATTGTGTCCCTGCACTGAATTTATATCATGTGATTCTAGTATTTCAGTTCTGTGATGAACACACAGGATGTATTACAACATGTTCCAGTTCTTCAGAGCCGTCGATTGTTATAGAGCAGCGGTTCCCAAAGTGTGGGCCGCGGCCCACGAGGGGGCCGCGAAGGTACTGCAGGTGGGCCGCGAGAGGTCATTTACAATAAATAAATAAAGTTTTTTAAAAGTTTGAAATTAATATGAAAATATTTATGATGTGGCACATTAGTTATGTGAAACATTAGTTGATGAAGCACAAACAATTTAAACGAACAGATTAATAAAACAAACAACACACCTCGCGGCATCGATCGGACCCTGAAAGCACCATCTCCACCTTACTGTCAAAAAGAACAACAGCGAGCGCGTAGAAAATTCCTTCGAGCTCGAGCAGAAGTTCTCGTTTCGCAAGCGAGCAACGAAGTTCTCGTTTCGCAAGCGAGCAAATACTTGCGGAGACAGACTTTCATTTAATCATTATGTTTTGATCAGAGTTGTGATTAAAGGTTTGGGTGGGCCGCGAAAGATTTCCAGATTTCAAAGTGGGCCGCGGCATTCTTGAGTTTGGGAACCGCTGTTATAGAGAAAAGAATGAGGGGGGGACAAGAGGAGACATGGATCTGTCACGTGGTGCAGAGTTCAGCAGGGTGACAGCGGCAGGAGAAGCTGTTCCTGAACCTGCTCGTCCGGGAACGGAGGAACCTGCAGCGCCTCCCAGAGGGGAGGAGGGCAAACAGTCTGTGGCTGCGGTGAGAGTTGTCCTTCACGATGCTGCGCGCCCTCCGCACACATCTTATGTGCTGGACAGCCTGGATGGTGGGAGTGAGGAAGCAGTGATGAGCAGTTTTAAGCCTGTTAACCCTGATTTCTGGTCCGCAGCAGAGCAACTGTCGTACCAGTGTGATGCAGTTGGTGAGGATCCTCTCGATGGTGCAGCGGTAGAAGTTCACCAGGATCTGAGGGGACAGATGAGCCTTCTTCAGGTCTCCTCAGGAAGAAGAGGATGAGGAATCGGCCGAGGGAATCAGGCTGCATGAATGCACATCACAGGGAGCACTGAACAGGTGAGAGAACCACTGATGCAGATGGAATCAAAAACACGCACATACAAATATTTAAAATGCCTTTAGAATTAAAACAAAGGGTGCGTCTATAGCGGATACATCTTACTCACACACCTGGATCACCATTTCCTTTAAGAAGGAAGTGATATTGTATTTACATTGCTGTGATCTATTCCGGTTTAATTAGATAAAACAATTAAAGAATTTAAAGTTAATGTGACCAAATGGACACTTAAAATACTTTGGGAATAGTATCCAGACGTGACAACGCCACTCTCTTTCGGGGGGAGAGACCCTGAATTCAATTATCTTACTGGCCAAAAACCCCATACAAGGTAGATCATAGACAGACAGGCTTCTGCATGTACAGTGCAATGACACTTCCAAGCATAAAAACACTGCACACTGTTAAGGAAGGCTAAAAATAACCAACACACACAAATACGATTACTGATCCTGGTTAAAAGACAGAACACAATAGAAGTGGGAAGCAACGGTCATCAAAAAGGCACAATATCAGTTTGTTATTTCTCTAAATCGAGGGAGCAAGATGGAGGCACTAGAGCATAATCTAAACTAAAACTATGGTCGGAGAAAAAGAGCAGTGGCTGCCCTGCTGACCACTGCGTGTCACCAGTTCAGCCTGCAATGTACAAAACAGCCATTAATCACCGAGTACCCATCATCTAGTGTTGTTGCCTCCCACCCTCCTGCTTCGAAGCTTGTGTCGAAATATGAACCAGTGCAGGGCGAAGCAATTGTATCGGTGCTCGGTTCGTTCGCTGCTGATCACGTGATCAGTGACGTCTGAAGCTTCGTTCCGGCGCATAGTCACGTGACCGCTTCGAATTGATTCAAATGGGCGCGAAACAGGGTTGGGGCTTGTCTGTTTGATACAGTCAAAGTGAGTGTTGTTGTTGTAGTAGCAAATTTACAATGGAACCTGTGGCAAAGAGAGGTTGCTCCGAGATGTGGGAGCACTTCAATTTGATTTCCTCTAACAAGGTTTGTAATAGGCAGACAAAGTCTGTCATTTGTATTGTGTAATTATGGATGTTTATTTTTATTGTGGAGACCACCCGATATTTGGCTGAATCAAACATTCCACGGAGTGAAGACCCGCTAAAATATTGAATCAAACACAAACATGTGTACCCACATCTATTTGTATTAGCACGTAATCTTTTGAGCATTCCTGCCTCATCGTGTCGTGTAAGCGCCTTTTTTGTAAGGCAGGGGAAACAGTATCTAAGAAACCGACTCAACCCCAATTCTGTGGAGAAAATTGTGTTTCTCAATAAAAATCAATAATAACTTCATGCCCCATCCCATGTGTCCACAAGCACTTCAATATATATAAACTTCTTTCCAATGTACAGAGAATTGAAGTACACAAACAAGGACACAATTCAAACCTGAAAAACAATAGTTTTATTCATATAGGAATCCATGTATTTATTAGATGATTTATTGGTTCAACTTTTCATAATCATATTCAACCCACAGAGACTGGGCCAAAATATACTGGTGGGCTATTCGATACATTTGCACTACAAGTTTTCAACAGCAGAGGTCATCATAGAGTTTGCGATGCATTGAATGAATGAACCTTTTTCCGATACAATTGGCTGGAAAGCTTCACAGGTTCAGAAAGCTTCACTTTGCCATCACTACCATCATCCTTCTCATTACAAAACGCATAATGTGCTTGCAAGCCCAACTTCCTACCTCCTTGGCCCAATGCACCTGTGCACCAGCAGGTAGGACCCTGGGCTCACCAGGTCTGGTTCAGGTCTGACCCTCTACCATAGAAAAGAACATCATATTAATTTCCCCATGGCCTAAAGGACGTAGATTAAAATTGCACAACCTACCTCCTTAGTATAGTTTGCTCACCCACACGGTACTGGCGAGCAAGAAACAAAGCAACCCAGACTTCAGCACATGCGGGACAACGAGAACAAACGTGAGTTGCTCAACTCTCACGGGATCTCCTTTATATGGAGAGGCTCTCCTTGAGATTAAGCCTCCCGCTCTATGCTGAGGCTCCCAGGTCCTAAGGTCCCAACTCTCACATTAAATAATTCAGCTTTAAGACACTTAACTGTAGTGATTATTTAACTATTGCTCAGACACATTTTAATTTGATGAATCTTACTAACGTGATGCAGGAGGAGCGTGTGGACATACGTTCCCTGTAATCTAATATTTATTTAATTAAAGAAATGACTGGAGGAAACACTGCTTAGAGCTGCAAGTTTATTGATGCATACAAAGAATAAACATAAAAAATGTATTAAACACAAACAGGTGAAGATGAAATACAAACAGAACCTGTCAAAACTCTTAAAAAGATAAAGATAAACTCAAATGTTGGAGAAATATGTTGTCCAATAAAAGATTAATAAATGCTAAAAGATTTTTTTATCAGAAATAAAAGAGCAGATGACTTCATATTGAATAATATCAACAACGTACTGAAGATTTCAAACAGGCCCCAATTTTAAAAAAAGCATTAGAAAACAGAGTGACTGAGGAGAAAAAATTGATATGTACAATATTTACACATCATTAGAACATGATATGTTGCATCTGTTCCCCTGGCTCTGTCCATGCAGATGTTTTTATCCATCTGATAAAAGAAGGAAAAGAGATTAAAGGTTATTCAAGAGTAACAGGTGTAAGTGTTGTGTTTGACCTTTGATGACTGCTGGTAGTAATACACAAGTACACTCAGATTGTATTACATGGTCTGTTGTACTTGAAGTACCTGCAGCTGTTTCCATCCTCACATTTTCATAAACGCTCTCCTCTGGTTCATCATTCGTCCCTGTTAGAAGGATCAGATGAATGCATGAAGAGACACTTTATTCTCTTTTATTAAAGCTCTGCTGGCCTACAAAAGCATCTCAACTGCTGCAGCTTGTTCCCTTATAGAAGTATTCACATGAACCATCAATGTCTTTAAGCTCAAACACAGAATCTGTGACATCATCGATACACTTTGTCTTTAATTTAAAGGTCAACCAGTCCCTTGATCATCTGATTCTAGTATTTTAACAGCTGTGTGATGAACACACAGGATTTACTGCACCATGTTCAGGTTCTTCAGAGCCTCCGATTGCTTCATAGAGACAAGAATCACCTGCAGAGCAGTGAGGATAAAGACGAGGTCGTATCAATCATTTGAACCACTTTGTATCAATTATAGAATCTTCTCAAACAGATAACCAGAAATGGAAATGTTAGCATTAAAGTTAAGAACAAATTATTAAATAAATCAGGATTAAAGCTGACCATGAAGAAGAGAAGCGTAATGTCCGTCTTGAGTTTCACCCTGGTTGATCACGTGGTCTCTAGCTGGGCTCTGATTGGTCCTCTGAGACCTTGTGGGTCCAAAACATGAAGTAAATACAGAGGATTTAATGAGGAACATGTAAAGTCCTGCTGCCGTGTTCAGAGTGAGAGAAGAGAGGCTTGTACCAACCTGCTGAGGCTGGAAGCTGCAAGAAAAAGGTTTCACATTGATTATTAATTAGTGTGTGTAATAATATCTGTGACTTTGACTTATTTCAGTGAAATCAGTCTGATATCAGAAGGAAAAGATCTCACCTTCTGACTTTCTGTAGCGACGCAGAAACAGCAGCAGGAGAATAATCACTAAAACTCCAGAAACCAGACCAACAACCAACGGCACGAGAAACACAGAGCTTGATGCTGCTTCTTCAGGATCTACACACAAGTACACACCAACCATGAAGAGATACACAAGTAACAATAATAATACAGTTTATTTATAACACACTCTTCATCAACAGATCTCAGAGTGTCACGGAGCCAGAAAAACATACTTAAAACAAAGTAAAACTAGTAAAAACACAGGTACTAATGTGTTGTAGTGCTAAACAAGTACTACAACACACACACTCAAATACACAAACATGAAGCCTTGATCGCACAACATTCACCTTTCACTGCTGGTCATGTTACATCTCTAATATTATGTGTTTTTACTGAACATGAACATCTTTAAAACTATATTGTCTCACACAAACAAATAGTTTATCTTAAGATAACTTCTAATTCAGTGACACCTTTTCTCACTCAGACTGTAACACATGTTACAAAACTCGTACTCACATTTCACTGACAACCAGCTCTCTGCTGAGGTCAAAGTCTCCAAACCTTGAGGTGATTTCCTTCCTCTACATTTATAAAAGCCTTCATCTGACTTAGTAACTGCAGAGATAAGCAGCTCCCCTCTGACAGGATTTGGGATGAGTGTGTTATTTTTATAGAAATCCACATTATAAAGAAGGTTTTCTGTCCTCAACTTGCAGCCAAGAGTGACAGAATGTCCCTCAGTCACAGGACGGACAGAACTCACCAGGATGACATCACCACCTGTAAAGAGACCAGAGGACAGGAAGTCAAACAAGCTGATGAACAATGAGGAGAAGACATTTATAGTTTACATTTGTTATTCACATTCACACAGTAGCTGAGCGAATAGCTGCATTTCATGGATGGAAGAGACGGCCCTTTGGTGACGTACATGCTCACAGTTACATCTTTAATTAATGCTCAATATGTCGGTAGACAAATTTCCACTTAGTGGCAGTGAGCTACAGAATGGTCTAAAAGGTACAAAGTGAGCAGATAACTCTACAGCTCCTCCTGGTTTAAAGTCAATGGTGGAAGTCAATGGTCATAAAGAGGAAAGCAAACCACAAAGACGTGTTGGATAATACAGAGAAATGATCATCGAAAATCCAAAGATTGTTGAATCGTTTGTTAAAATAAATATTGAGTTAAACTCGTCATGAAATCACCTTAAAAATGTCAGCACTCTGTAATAAGATGTAAATACTTTAGATATAAAACCTTTTAATGAATATAAACTCACTGTGTATAGTGATGTTGGCTGCATTGCTGGACTGTGTTTCAGACTCACACCAGTACACTCCACTACTCGCTCTAGTGTTGGTGTTGCATGTGGATCCAGTCATTTCTCCCCAGTAAGAACATGATGACACGTCACCATCTTCATCAACCTTCATCACTCTCCACTCAGTAGAGTTTCCCTCACAGATCAGTGACAGTGACTCTGTGCTGAAGTGCTGCAGTCTGTGAGGACTCACTGTGAGAGACGCTGCTGGATTCACACCTGAAGACACATCATTAGGAGACACACACAGGACAAACAATGTCAACACAAAAAGGACATTTATTCCCTTGTGCAAGAATATAAAAGTCTGAACAAACTCACCTCCAGACCAGACAAACTTCACACCACTATACTGAGTGTAAAACACAGGATCTCCTCTTCCAGCTCTGCACTTATATCCTGCTGTGTGTGTCTGTCCATGAAGAATGTAGGAATCCTGTTCAGTCCCATTGGTGCCACCAGCTAGAAGCTCAAAGTTGTAGTAGTTGTCTGTGGATGACATGTCTGGAACAGCCTTATACCAGAAGAACCTCCATCCTGCAGACGGAGGTTCAACACTGCAGGTCAGAGTCACTGAGTCTCCAGGACTCGTCCATGATGGAGACACTGTGAGGACAGGACGAGGGACATCTGTTGGAAAGAGGTTTGACAGAATAAAGACGTGTTATGATGAGTCCTTGGTGGATTACTGTCACTGCTGATGTCCTCCATCTTTTTATCTGTCTTCATGTGTTAAACAGGTGTTTGGGTACAATGTCTTTAAACATAGTAACTAATCTCACATTTCAAATATTCTATTTCAGATTCTTTGTCCTTAAATCTGCACTTGTAAGAGCTCCCATCAGACATCAGAGAAATGGTGATTTCATGTGTGTGTTGATGGTTTGTGTCCATCTCAATAAGTGTTTTGTCTTTGTAGAAGTCAGCATTCTTCTCCTTTCTCTGGTCTCCATGTCGACAGTGAAGAGTCACTGATTCTCCTTCATACAAGGAGGACGCAGGAGTTAAAGGATCACATCTCTGTCTGTGTAACAGTTACTTCTTTACTTTACTAAATCAGTTTCATTAAATGAACAATGATACAAGAAATCAGTGATTTATGTTTCCTACATAATTATAATTTAACATAAAGTTGCAAACAGAAGAAGATGTCAAAGTCAGTCTCCCTGTAATAAATAATAAAAGGTTCACTGAGTAATGAGAACATTTCACCTGAAGGAGGCGCCACACTCTCCTGATGTGTTTGATTTACTTGTGTTATCAATAATTAATCAATAACTAATTTGTCAATATGGATAAAATATGGGATGGTTTGTCTTAACTCTGTCCGTCTTTCTTTTTTTTAATTTAATGATCAATATTATCTGATAATTGATCCTTTTAAACAAAGCTCAGCTAATTAAACAGCATCAGTGTCAACTTTCTCTCACACTAGTTAACATTAATTATCACTACATTATATTAAATCAGCACTTCATCAAACAGGTTTATTAAATCAACACGTCACTGAGTGAGTTTTATGCTTCATTAACTGAAGTTTTCAAACAAGCACCAGACGGCACAGAAGATGCTGCTGTTGTTTGTCTCTACGTGTGTGAACAGACTTTTAGTGATGAACACCAACAAAGCACCTCACAGGTCACAGTGAGTGATGAACACCTCACATCTGTTCTGAGAATTGACAACAAAACTAACAGCAGACTTTGATGCAGCGGCAAAGAAGGATGATCGACTGCACTGTTCCCATTAAAAGCCAATGTGAGTATTAACACTGTAAAGCCTTTTGTGTTTATGTTTGATATGTTTGCATCTGGTGCTGCCCGACCCGTCTGTCAAACTATAAAGTCAATGGTGGATGTCAATGGTCATAAAGAGGAAAGTAAACCACAAAGACGTGTTGGATAATACAGAGAAATGATACTGTAACAAACTAAGATTGTTGAATCGTTTGTTCAAATAAATATTGAGTTAAACTCATCATGAAGTCACCTTAAAAATGTCAGCACTCTGTAATAAGATGTGTAAATACTTTAGATATAAAACCTTTAAATAAATATGAACTCACTGTGTATAGTGATGTTGGCTGCATTGCTGGACTGTGTTTCAGACTCACACCAGTACACTCCACTACTCGCTCTAGTGTCGGTGTTGCATGTGGATCCAGTCATTTCTCCCCACTTAGAACATGTTGACACGTAGCCATATTTATCAGCCATCATCACTCTCCACTCAGCAGAGTTTCCCTCACAGATCAGTGACAGTGACTCTGTGCTGAAGTGCTGCAGTCTGTGAGGACTCACTGTGAGAGACGCTGCTGGATTCACACCTGAAGACACATCATTAGGAGACACACACAGGACAAACAATGTCAACACAACAAGGACATTTATTCCCTTGTACAAGAATATAAAAGTCTGAACAAACTCACCTCCAGACCAGACAAACTTCACATCACTATACTTAGTGTTAAACACAGGATCTCCTCTTTCAGCTCTGCACTGATATCCTGCTGTGTGTGTCTGTCCATGAAGAATGTAGGAATCCTGTTCAGTCCCAGTGGTGCCACCAGCTAGAAGCTCAGGGGTGTAGTAGGAGAAGTAGTGTGACATGTCTGGAACAGCCTTATACCAGAAGAACCTCCATCCTGCAGACGGATGTTCAACACTGCAGGTCAGAGTCACTGAGTCTCCAGGACTCGTCCATGATGGAGACACTGTGAGGACAGGCTGAGGGACATCTGTTGGAAAGAGGTTTGACAGCATAAAGACGTGTTATGATGAGTCCTTGGTGGATTACTGTCACTGCTGATGTCCTCCATCTTTTTATCTGTCTTCATGTGTTAAACAGGTGTTTGGGTACAATGTCTTTAAACATAGTAACTAATCTCACATTTCAAATATTCTATTTCAGATTCTTTGTCCTTAAATCTGCACTTGTAAGAGCTCCCATCAGACATCAGAGAAATGGTGATTTCATGTGTGTGTTGATGGTTTGTGTCCATCTCAATAAGTGTTTTGTCTTTGTAGAAGTCAGCATTCTTCTCCTTTCTCTGGTCTCCATGTCGACAGTGAAGAGTCACTGATTCTCCTTCATACAAGGAGGACGCAGGAGTTAAAGGATCACATCTCTGTCTGTGGAACAGTTACTTCTTTACTTTACTAAATCAGTTTCATTAAATGAACAATGATACAAGATATCAGTGATTTATGTTTCCTACATAATTATAATTTAACATAAAGTTGCAAACAGAAGAAGATGTCAAAGTCAGTCTCCCTGTAATAAATAATAAAAGGTTCACTGAGTAATGAGAACATTTCACCTGAAGGAGGCGCCACACTCTGCTGATGTGTTTGATCCATTTGTGTTATCAATAATTAATCAATAACTAATTTGTCAATAGGGATAAAATATGGGATGGTTTGTCTTAACTCTGTCCGTCTTTCTTTTTTTTAATTTAATGATCAATATTATCTGATAATTGATCCTTTTAAACAAAGATCAACTAATTAAACACCATCAGTGTCAACATTAATTATCACTACATTATATTACATCAGCACTTCATCAAACAGGTTTATTAAATCAACACGTCTCATTAATATAAAAGTGCTTTAATGAACTCGTCGTGATGGTAAAACATTGATCACTTATCTGATACAGTTAGAGAGACTTTATTACTTTCTCTTCTAACAGGACGGATCTTGTGATCAGCAACACACTGATATTCATTACATTATCATTTATCTGACGCTTTTATCCAAAGCGACTTACAATACATTTTTAACCCATGGCATTTTACATTTTTGCCTGGGGAGCAATTAGGGGTTAGGTGTCTTGCTCAGGGACACTTCAACATGGGACATGGAGCAGCCGAGACTCAAACCACCAACCTTGTGGTTCCCAGCACACCCTCTCTACCTCTGCGCTACTATCTCCTCTAGTTAGAGATGATGATTTATATCTATTTACTGTTCTGTTGGTGGTAAAGAAATGACCATTCTGAATGAGTAGTTCCAGTCAGCATTTCGAAAAACACAACATGCAAAGATTGAATCTTCTTTCTTGTAATCATCATAAATTAACAATTAACTACTAAATAGTGATAGAAGGTGTTGAATCGTCTTGAGTGAATGTATCAAAATAAAGGAAGTAGTATAGAAACCTTGAGCGTGTCCACAGTAGAGGAGAATATTCAGCGCTAAAATAAAGTGAGAAACATCATCAAACTGACAGAAACTATTAACTTCTGGCATTTAAAAAGTTGTATCTATGAAAACTATGATTTAAACAGAGAAAGTACTCACAGAAAAGCCCCAACGCACCAAACAGGGTGGGTCCCATCCTCACGTCCACGCTGACACTCAGCTTGTGAGAAACGCTTCCGCTTCGTGTCAAGAGACAGT